TGTGCTCTTCATGTGGGAGACCAGGGAGCTCCCTGGCGAGACAGTCCACAGAAGTGCCGCTGGCCGGCTGGGGATCGATAGTATACCGGGGTAGTACCGATCGGAAACAAGCTAGTTTTTCATTTCCAACTTTGAATGAAGCTGTTTTAATTTGTTGTTAAAATCTTTCCAGTCTCCAGACGTTACATTCAGATGATATTCAACTGTTTTTTTTTTTTACTTTTTTGCAACTTCACAATCCAAGTTGCGATTGTCACCCCTGTCTACAGATTGCGTACTCGGTAATCTGAACGTAACATATGGCCACTTTCCTGTTAGCGATTCGCAAGTAGCTATTGTCTTTTTGCTGAGACCGTCTGATGGACATGTTGGTGGTCGTTATACAAAGGTTAAAGTGTGAATAGGTCTACAATAGGGTGGTCGCTGGTCGCGTTGGACAGGTGGTCGCTATATCCAGTGTCTTTAACGTGTAAATTGCGAAGGGACTGTACTGAGGTGGTCGCTATGAGCAGGTGGCCGCTCTGCACAGGTGGTCGTTAACACAGGTTTGACTGTATTAAATTTTTGCTGAAAAGACATTTTGGGTGTTTTGTAAGGAATCACTGATTTTTGATGAGTTGAATGTAAAATATAGGAAAAAAAGTATATTCGCTGGATTTTATTTTTACTGAATTATTCCAAGTGAAAATAAAGTATTTTACATTAATTTATGATGGCATTTTTAACATAAGGCATGTGTCAGAGCCCTCTATAGACCATAAAAGATGTTTCATTTGTTTAATCAGCAAACTAGAAATGCAAAAGTTTGTGACATCTACAAAAATGAACTATGATAACAACGAAAAAAAAAAATTTTGCTTACCTTGTGAACTAAAAAATATTTACATGTTTGATCAGCTTTATAAACCTTGACTACGTTGTCGGGAAAATCAGGTCGGCCATTAAACGGTTCAAAATTCTGTGGTGCTGTGAGGTCAGGATTGCTATTGCTAAGAAAACTACTCGGTAAACTGGAAACACTGGTACGCTTCCCCGGCATATTACTATCATCTTGTACTCTGTTAAGTTGAGAGTCACTGCAATCAAACAAATAGATTTCCTGATAATTTGGAAAAAACATGATAACTAATTCAATGACAAGTTTGGTTCTGGTTTAGTAGATGGATAAACACAAACTAACAATCAGTCCTGTCCAAACTATGTCTAAAATATTGTTTTTCAAAGATTAGTTGTGGGTGTGGAGTAGTGACCTTATGTAATTCTCGACCTTTGTATGTTTAATCCTTTGAATGCTAAAATCCTTAAAAAACTAAAAGAGGAAATTTGACAATACAAGATCAGAGACAATTGCTGTTCTTCATTTCAGTATTCAGACAATACAACTAACTACACTGATAAAAGTGGCTACAAAATTGGATGATTACAATGGGAAGGGCATTGTAAAAAGGAAAACATCTGTCGTTTGAGAAGATTTCATACTGATGAATTAGGTGACCAAGTTTTATAAAGGTTGGAATAGAATTAGTAAAGTTATTGTGCACACATTAACAATTATTAACAACAGAGACGACAACGACAACAACGACAGACATTTTTTCCTTAATATACCTTGCCCGTCCATCTTTGATGATATGGGCAAGGTAAAAAAAATGAAATTTTAAACTTATAATAACATTTCAACTTACCTCCCATGTACATTTTTATTCGGCAGAATACTAAGCTTTGCCATTGCCCTCCGTATTCTGGCTTTATGTCCCAGTGTGGCAAACCCTTTCTTGTCTCGGTCTTTTGCTTTTATTGAGGGTGAAGATGACGGCAATGTAGCAGCAATATCAGGAATTGACAACCTTCCCCGCGGATCTGACTGTAATCTGGATAATTCTCGACTCATCCTCCGATCAGGATTCTCTGGTGTACTTAACATTTCTTTAAAAGCTGAGTTACAAATGAAGGACAGAAAATTATGTTATGTCATGGGAAGTGAACCACAACATACATATGAAACATTTCTAACACCTATACACATACCGATACTGTAAACTACTTTTATTTTTTTTGCAAGACAAATTTTTTGCGAATTTAACAAATCAATGAAAATCATAAAATTTTGTAGTTGTGAACATTTTTCTAGGGTCATTTGACACAGTGTCAGTGACTTACGTAAAATTTTTTCTTTAGAAATGCAATAAAGTCATCAAAACATGCAAAAATTTCTAGAAGCAAAAATTAAACAGATTACAGTATTTTGATATTATGTAAAGATTGGTTCATCTGATAAATCAGAGCATGTAAACTGCAAAATTTGAAGTCTGATCAGATTTTTGAAAGATCTGTACTTTGATCAGATTAGATAAATATGACTGAGTAAACAATTATTAATTATTTTGCACATCATATGCAGTTTGGTTAGAAAACTGATTTTGTAAACCAGCCTCACAAACTCAACAACAAATCAAAAAGCACAGAGAAAGTTGGCCAGTTTATAGAGGTGTTCAGTATATAGAGGTGTTCAGTTTATAGAGGTGTTCAGTTTATAGAGGTGTTCAGTTTATATAAGTGTTCAGTATATAGAGGTGTTCAGTATATAGAGGTGTTCAGTTTATAGAGGTGTTCAGTATATATAAGTGTTCAGTATATAGAGGTGTTCAGTATATAGAGGTGTTCAGTATATAGAAGTGTTCAGTATATAGAGGTGTTCAGTTTATAGAGGTGTTCAGTTTATAGAGGTGTTCAGTATATATAAGTGTTCAGTATATATAAGTGTTCAGTATTTAGAGGTGTTCAGTATTTAGAGGTGTTCAGTATATAGAGGTGTTCAGTATATAGAGGTGTTCGGTTTATAGAGGTGTTCGGTTTATAGAGGTGTTCGGTATATAGAGGTGTTCAGTATATAGAGGTGTTCAGTTTATAGAGGTGTTCAGTTTATAGAGGTGTTCAGTTTATAGAGGTGTTCAGTATATAGAGGTATTCAGTTGATAGAAGTATTCAGTTTATAGAGGTGTTCAGTTTATAGAGGTGTTCAGTTTATAGAGGACTTTTACATGTCTATGGAGTGAGAACTGAAAATGGTGTTTTGCTATTACTGTATGCTAGATCAATGACCAGAAATAAACCTTTGTTATTTACGTAATCACATGGGATATTACTAGAACAAATATTGGTTTGTTTTTACATCAATGGTACGACTACTAGTACACAATTCAATAAAGGTTGCACACATGACAGGTTCCACAATGGTAGAAATGTTCAGTGTTGTTGACCTCACCTAACATATTAGTTTTGACAGTTAGACATAGATGAGTAGTTCCTCGTAACACTTCTAGAGCTTTGCCATGACAAATTCTCTCAAAATTGTGACCATTGACTTCTAAAATCTGTGACGTTTGAAGAGAATAAATCATGATCAGTTGAAAAATGCACTCAGACTGTGGTGACATAGTTATGTTTTGTCTTTGTATGAGAATACAGTTTAAAGAATCAATTTTGAAATTGATACTTTCACTTTCAGGATTCTCTGTATTTCTTATAATTATGCGTTTATATCATATACTGCTATATCTTTGTAAGTTGTTTAAAAGTGAATTGGTGCTCATCAAGGGTGGTGGTAACTTAGTTGAGTGCATTTAAAACAACTCCACATAGCAATATGTACAAATAAGGATCAAATGCAACAGTTATTCATTCAAAATTGAATGCAATCAAACGTATGAAACCACAGTAACCATTGTTATATAAACAGTCACTGCGAACGTTACAATCGTGTAAATTCGATATCGGTCAATGGCAATATATATAAATGAGACTCAAACGCATTGGTTATTTAAAGCACATGAAATTCAAAAGTATGTGGTAGCCATGACGACCAGAATCAATGTGACATTCACAGTGATCATCATAATTGCATGTATTGGTTATTCATACAAAATTGGATACGTATGCGACCACAATAACTATTGTCATAGCAACCTTCACAAGTTACTAACAATATACTGCAGAGAACATGGAATGCTGCGTTTTTGTAATTGTTGCAAATAGTGACAGCTTCAGTCATGTCAAACCAAAAACAATAATGAATGAAGACAATTTTACCTGATCTCCTCTTCGGAGACCAACTTCTTGTGCCTTGGAGCCTTTTTCCACTTTTGAAATAAATATCCCACAGCCTCTGTCATATCCCCCTAATACTGAAAAACGAAGTACTGAATCTCTTGTAGACCGTGCCTGCAAATAAAAAACATAGCAAAACTATAACAACCTTGATTGTGGTATATGCAACAGAAGAATAATTAAAAATACATTTTTAACGAATATCAGTATAATTAAAATGCAAAATAATACAATTGTTTTAATTTTGCATGAACAATTTTCAAGAATTTCATTCATGGAAAGCAAATTTAGTTCTCCACAACACATGATCTCATGTCTTATAAGTCATGCGTAAATGTCATGCTATGTTGCTATGTGGTTCAATCAATACATTTCAGCATGGTCAATACTATTGTATAAGTCATATGCTCTAACTATGAACATAGTGAAAGCTGTTTAGAATATAGTAAATCACTCAAGAAACAAAATATGATATCGATGAATGATCACAGGTCGAACAATATCAGTGCCGTGAATGACTGTCTATTCACCCATACATATATGTAGCGGTAAGTACTTTTTTGCAAGTAAGTAAGTCAGCCTGAGATCACAGGTCGAACAATATCAGTGCC